TGTGCTATGTAAAGGGGGGAAATAATGGAGAGCAAATCGCCTTAGCTTTTAAAAGATGATTTCTTTGATCACCTAAGAATACTTGAGGATCTTCTTTGATCAAAATTATAGTTCACTGAATCGTTGAAGCATTTCTGATTTTGTCAAATCTTTACTGTTGAAACATTTCTGTATTTCATTGGGGGGAGTAGCCGAGACATTTGTTACCATCATAAGTTACAAGGTAGGACTCTCGTCTGACCTAGAACTCGATTGTGGCCATTATTGTTTTGGAGTCACACTACATGTATAGTCTTTCTCATTTTAGCAGTTTTCATCAAGAGGATAAGAGGTGGCCTGTTTCCTCACCTGTTTCACTGAACCTCACCCTCCAGGTGGTGATCAATGCTTGCTGCTCCATCTTTATTCATCTTACTATTAATTTATGACAACTCAGGGGGAAAAAAATATAACAAGCCTAGTTTGGTTCCAGGTACACACAAGCTTGAATATTTCTGTGCACTGAGATGAAAGTGACATAGTTCATCACCACCGACTACATTTTGTACAGCATTTTATCAGCCATAGAAATAGGACAATCGGTAAAACTTTGGGGAGGGCAAGGGAGGAAATGACAAAGCGTCTGTCCAAAACAGACACACCTAAAACAAGGTGGATGTAGCACATGTCTGCCGCGGCTCAGGAAGACTCTGAGCCTGGGGCAGGTTTGTAGACCTACACGACTTCAGCACTTTACAACATATTTTGTACTATGAATGTTCAACACAATTTAATATTTATAACTGATTTTTGAGGATCTGCTCTGTGTCCATTCTGTTAACTGCATGAGAAAAAAAAATATATGTATGCCAATTTCAGTATGTCAATTATCAAGATTTTAAATGTTTGGAAGAAAATAAAAAGATTGCTGATTTGTTCTGTATTAGTGACATTCTGGTACTTCTAGATTTGCAATAAATTTATGGCTTTTTATTTAGAGAGACTGATTTTCTTCTGTGGTAAAGTTTTTCAATATAATATTCATTAACACAATGAAAAGTTATAAAAGCTCAAGGACATTCATTTCAAATGAATAATTTTTAAAATTTTTCTGTAAAGTCTTTTAGCCCTACAGGAGACACATAAAGGTTCCTAGGAGTATCTACTGAGCTTTTCTTTTTCTGTTATTAAACACAGGTCAAGCCAGGCACAGTGGCACACATCTGTAATCCCAGCTACTTGTAAGGCTAAGGCAGGAGGATCATAAGTTTGAGGCCAGCCTCAGCAACTTAGCAAGACCCTGTCTAAAAATTTAAAAGGGCTGAGGATAGAGCTCAGTGATAGAGGACTAGGCTCAATCTCTAGTAATGCATAAATAAAATTTAAAAATCAGGACAATTTTATTTTTTATTGGATCTTTCCAATAAATAATTTTTAAAGTAATTAAATTAAAAATAAGTGAAGGGCTGAGGATATAGCTCAGTTGGTAGAGTGCTTGCCTCACATGCACAAGGCCCTGGGTTCAATCCCCAGCACCATCAAAATAAGAAAAAAAAAAAACATTTTATGGGGCTGGGGATGTGGCTCTAGCAGTAGCGCGCTCGCCTGGCATGCGTGGGACACTGGGTTCGATCCTCAGCACCACATAAAAATAAAGATGTTGTGTCCACCGAAAACTGAAAAATAAATATTAAAAAATTCTCTCTCTCTCTCCCTCTCCCTCTCCCTCCCTCCCTCCCCCTCTCTATCTTAAAAACATAAAAATTGCAAATAATTTTAAGGCAAGTATTCAGTAATGCATAACAGGAGAGGGAAATAAAATGTTACAATATAATCAAGTGAAGAGTCCTATTTTGAGCTATGAACTGAAATGTGAATAAAAGGAATGGTTGAACACTTTTTCTTTTTTTTTGTACTGGGGAGTGAACTCAGCAATGTCTAACTGCTGGGCTACATCCCCATCCCTTTTGATTTTGAGACAGAGTTTTGCTAAGTTGCTTAGGGCCTTGCTAAGTTGCTGAGGCTGGCCTCAAACTTTTGATCCTCCTGCTTCAGCCTCCCAAGATCCTGGGATTACAGGAGTGCACCACCAAGCCTGGTACCTGAACTTAATTTTTAATAAAAAATGAGGAACTTGGAATGGAGATTGGTGGTACAGTGCTTGCCTATTGTGTACCAGGCCCTGCGTTCCATTCCCAGCACTGGAAATATGAAGGAAATGATATGACTCCCAAATTAAATAAGCCTGTCAAAAGGCACTGGACCCAAGTTCAAGGCCAGTCTGAGCTACTTAGCCAGTCAGTCTCAAGAAGGTCTCAGTGGTTGAGTGTCCCTGGCTTCAATCCCTAGTACTGCCAAAAAGAAAAGGTAGTGAAGGCAAATAGCTAAGACTATTATAAGAGTTTATATCTTAAATGTTCCCCAAGGCCAAGTTCTGAAGCCTTGGTTGGCGGCCTGTGGCCCTATGAGAGAGTGAAGGCGTGAGGCCTATCGGGAGGAAGTTAGGTCACTGGGCCATGCCCTTCAAGAGGGCCTTGGGACCCTGACCCCTCCCTCTCTGCCTCCCTGTGTGTGTCTCTCCTTCCTGGCCACCAGCAGGTGAGTGACTCTGATGTTCCCCTTCAGCACAGGCTCAGAGCAACAAGTCTAGGCAACCATAGACAGGAAACTGGAACTATGAGCCAAAATAAATCTTTCCTCCTTTTTAAAACATTTATATCAGGGGCTGCGGATGTGGCTCAAGCGGTAGCGCGCTCGCCTGGCATGCGTGCGGCCTGGGTTCGATCCTCAGCACCACGTACAAACAAAGATGTTGTGTCCGCCGAAAACTAAAAAATAAATATTAAAAAAAAAATTCTCTCTCTCTCTCCCTCTCACTCTCTCTTTAAAAAAAAAAAAAATTTATATCAGGTATTTTGTCACAGCAATAGAAAGCTAATACAACTATCTAAACTCAGTTATAGAATGGTCCTAACAATGTTTATTTTTTGTTTTAGGTTGAACCCAGGGGTACTCTGCCACTGAGCCACACTGCCAATCCTTTTTAATCCTAAAACAAGATCTTGCTAAATTGGTGAGGCTGGCCTCAAACTTGCGATCCTTCTGCCCCAGCCTCCTGAGTTGCTGGGATTACAGGCAAGGCTTTTCTAACCCCTGAGTAAATAGCACAGACTTTCCATGCCAGGGGCTGGCAATCTTTTTCTATAAAGGTCCAGACAGTGAACAGTCACGGCTTTCTGGATCATGAAGTCTCTGTTGCAACTATTCAACGCAGCTGTTGTAGGTCAAAGGCAGCTACAGACAATATATAAATGAATGAGTGTGGCTATGTTTCAATAAAACTTTATTATGCTGAAACCTGAATTTCATATGAACTCTCCCACATGATATATTCTTTTGATTTTTTTTCAATCACATAAAAATGTTAAAGTCATTATTAGTTTGAGGGCTATTTTAAAAATAGGTGGTGGACTGGTTTTTCCCTGTGGACAATAATTTCTGATCTTTGCTCCAAGCCAGTAGCACAATCGTGAAAAATAACAATCTTGATTGATAGGAAAGGATCACTGTGGTCAAAGTCATTCTTAGATCCCAAGGACAGGAAAGATGAGCCAGCCGAAACTCATTCATAAAATAACTATCAGTTTTTATATCCATGATGAAAGAGATTCTGTCTTAAGCCTGTTAACTTCATAATGTTTCAGTATTAACGTAGATGGTTTCCCTCCCCAAAAGTAAAATTACTCCAGTTGTAAAAATGAGTTATGATCATATGTCCTGTTAAGATAAATGCATCTTTAACTGAAATGATGCTTCTGAATCTCTTAACAAAGTCATTGATTCTATGCTTCAATGCTGTCTTATGTAGTTTTCGTGCATTTATTTGCTTTGCCTTTACCTTAATCCCAAGGGATAAAATAGAAAATTCATTCTACATCCAGCTTTCAATGGCCCAGATTCAAGTCACCTGAAGGTACTTATTACATTTAGATATTCATTCTCTGCTACAAATATTCTAACTTAAAATCACCATGATCTGTTGTTTTTTGTTTTGGTTGTGTTTTTCCAGTACTGAGACTTGAACCCAGGACCTGGTGCATGCTCTGCAAGTGCTCTAAAACTAAGCTCATTCACAGCCCTTTTTATTTAGAGATAGGGTCTTGCTAAGTTGCCCTGGCTTGTCTTGAACTTGTGATTCTCCTGCCTCAGTCTCATGAGTAGCTGGGATTATAGGCTTAGAGCACCATACCTGGATATCATGATCCTTATTTTTTTTTTTAAACTTACATCATCGTAATACTAACTTTTTTTTAATATTTATTTATTTATTAGTTATCAGCGGACACAACATCTTTGTTTGTATGTGGTGCTGAGGATCGAACCCGGGCCGCACGCATGCCAGGCGAGCGCGCTACCGCTTGAGCCACATCCCCAGCCCTATGATCCTTATTTTTAAGTAAAAGGGATCTAGAGTTCAAAAGTCATGGCTTCAAACTTTTAAACGGTTATGAACATTACTGAACACAGTCAACTTAAAGACAATTCAGACAGGTTATGCGCTAAAAGACCACTCCTACAGGTATACATTGCATTGAGAAAAGAGAAGCTGTCCCTCTCTTCACATTTGTCTTGGATGCAGGTATGTGTCCTAAACCACTGCAAGCACATCCGACCGCTGGGACCTCCTCTACAAATGACCAAGGAGAATGGGTCCCCCTGGTGTCCAGTTTTTATAACGACTGGAAGGGCACAGAGAACTTGCAACTTTGCTATATCTACTCATGCAAAAACTCTCACACTCAAATTTCCTTCAGCACCTATTTTCCTAGAGGACAAATTAGACAGCAAGGCTGATATCCAGAACGCTTCGCCAAAGATTATTGAGAGAAAACACAAACTGTGGCTATGTATTTATATCATTCACAAGCCTTTCCAGTAACAAGAACAACCAGCATGCCAGCCACCTGGGGCCTCGCTACCCTGGAATCCATCCAGCCGGAGCTTTAAGCATCTCCTCCACAACCTTAGTCCTGGCTTTGCCCCTGAGCTCCAGTCTTGTAGGTGCCCACGTGGCAGCACATGGAAATCAACCAGGCACCTCCAGTGTAAAATGTCCCCAGGGCAACTCTGGATCTTCCTCCTCCAACCCCGCCTCCCCGGCAAACCCCATCAGCTTGCCTTTCTAAATATAGACAGAACCTGAATGCTTCAGCAGACTCCATCACACCCTTGATCTAAGCCAATATCATCTTAACTGGATTGTTATCATCATCTTCTAGCTTGTTTGCCAGTTTCCATTCCTGCTACCCACAACCCAGACTTAATTTCCCATATAGCAGCCATGATAATCCTTTTAAATCACAAGTTAGACATCGGTCCTTCTTTTTTTTTTTTTTTTTTTTTTTTTGGTGCTGGGAATTGAACCCAGGGCCTTGTGCATGCAAGACAAGCACTCTACCGACTGAGCCATATCCCCAGCCCCAGACATCGGTCCTTAAGGAAGGGCACTGGATGAACTCCCAATGCCAGTACTTCCCCTGCCTCCAAATATGCTAAGCCTCAGGCCATACCACTTGAGGTTCCCTTTGCCTGATATACCCTCACTTAGAGGTGTATGTGGTGTAACCTTTTAATTTGGTCACCTCCAAATATCTCCTACCTACGAAGGCATTCCTGATTATCCTATCCAAAATAGTATGTTTCTATTCTTTGACATAAAAGTAGTTGTTTATTCCTTGGTTATCTGTTTCTTCCACTAATACATTAGGATCACAGTTTTTCATTTTTGTTTTTTGTTTTGTTTTTGTACTAGGGAATGAACCCAGGGACACTTAACCACTGAGCCACATTCCTGACCTGTTTTATTTTTTATTTTGAGAAAGGGTCTTGCTAAGTTGCTTAGGGCCTTGCTAAATTGCTGAAACTGGCTTCAATTCTGCAATCCTTCTGCCTCAGCCTCCCAAGATGCAGGGACTACAGGCATGCACCACCTGCTGGCAGGACAGCAGATTTTTATTCATTGTTTTATATCCTCAAGGTTTTGAATAGGGCCTAACACGCAGCAGGTGATGTTCCATAAATATTATTGAATGAAAAATATGTAAATGAATGAATGAGCTCATCATTTTTCATTGACTTTTTTTTCCCTCATGAGAAAAAAAAAACTGGTATCTATTTACAAATAAAGCTCAAGAGACCCAGTGTGCTACAAAAAAGGTAGAGGACATTAGGACACTGAAGCACTATGCTCAGAGCCCACTGGTCCAGCAGCTGAGGAGAGGTCTCAAGGAACCCAGCAGGAGTGTCCTATGTGGCTGTATCAGCTTGAGGGAAAAAGCGCATCCATGAGCAGAAATTAACAGTAGGTTAGATATGCAAATGGAGGGCTATGAGATTTAACATATTGTCCATGTGGATTCTGTTTTAACCACCTGTTTTCCAGAAGATTTTGAATATATATTTTTATTTTTGACATATATAATTACACATATGTGTGATTACACATATTTATGGGGTACAATGTGACATTACATGTATCCAATGTTTACTGATAAGATCAGGGTAACTGGCATATCATCCCATTTATCACTTTTTTGTTGGAAACATTCAAAATTCTCTTTGGTATTTGGAAATACACTTTTTAAAAAATTCTTATTGGGGACAGAGCCCAGGGCCTCATGCATGCTAGCTAAGTACTCTACCCCTGATTTACATCCCCAGTCCATATTGACATTTTTTATGATCCTTTAATGCCTCAACTACTGATAACAACTGCTTTTCTAAACAGTGTACCTTTTTTCTTGTGTGTGTGTGTGTGTGTGTGTGTGTGAACACGCCGGCAGAGGCTCTAAGGCAAAGAGTACATGGATGATTTCTCTGACTTTGAGCAACCCCAGATGGCCCCACTTGAATAGAAAAGAAGTTGAAAGAAAGTTTAATCTTATAAGCCCTTTTGTAAACAGTCTGAAAAAAAAACAAATTGGTTTGGTTTTGGGCTGGTGGTATTCTCCTTCCATGAGATCACGTTGCACAGTGAAAACAACCCAGAACTCACAATCAGGACCCGTGGGCTCTGATCCCATTTTCGTCATTGGTTTAACTATCCACAGTTTGCTTGACCTCTAACATGGCCTTGCTTCTGCATCCACAAATGGACTCAACAGTCTCCCTATTATGAATATTTTACAACTGCTTTCCAAAAATGAAAATTCATCTCAAGGAGATACCAGGCCTTTGGCAACCAGAGGGGAGGGTAGGAAGCTATCTGTGCCAGAAAATAAAAGCATGAGGGAAAACCCAGTCAAGGCTGCACCCAGCAACCCTTGGGTGCCCAAGCCGGTTCACTCTCGCTGTGCTACCAGAGGACACTACCTGACCCTTAGAGGAGCCTTCCTCTCCTACTGGCCCAATTTCATGGGTACATCTTTACAGACAGCCTAGAAACTGTACTAATCTGGAGCTACGTGGTCCAATACAGCACTCAAAAGCCACATGGGCTGAGCACTTGAAATGTGCCCCATCTCAACCGAGAAGTGCTGTAAGTGTGAAATACACGCCGGATTTCAAGACTTGATATGAAAAACGAATATAAAAAAATCTCTTAATATTTATAATGATTACATGTTGTATTTTGGATGCATTGGCTGACTATGTGGCTGAAATTAATCCCTCCTGCTTCTTTTTGCAGTTGCCAAAGAGGCCACTTACACATGTGGCTTGTATGATATTTCTGTTGGACGGTGCTGCTTTAGATCTCAGAATCTAGAAAGTGACGAAGATGGAAACTTTTAAATGAAGCACATTTGTAAATGAGAGTTGGTTCCACTCACTGCTCAGCTGCCATCGCCATCCTGATTTTCCAAGGCCAAGCCCAGAGCGCAGCACGCGTGGGTGTGGCGCGGGCCTCCCCCGAGACAGGCCTGCACCGGAGGCTGCGGCGGAGGAGGTTACCCTGGGTCCCCGACGCCCGCCGGGGTAGGCCGGGCTGTGGACTCCACGCTTCGGATCCCGCTAGGGGAAGTCCCTGCGGGCGGAAACAGGTGGCGCGGCTGCTGGCAGCTGCAGGTCCCGCGCCTGCACGCCAGAGCGCAGCCCGGACAGCGAAGCGCTTCCTGCTCTGCTGGGGAGGGCCCGAGCGAGCGCAGGGCCAGCTATAGCAGTCCCAGAGCTGCCTGTTTGGATTTTAGCACTTTGGGTCTGAAGAAGAAACAACCAGGCCCTCTATAACTCATAGGGAAATTTAAAGTATTATGGGGCAGGGGTCAGTGACTCAAATTGGTAATCCCAATGGCTCAGGGAGATGGGGGCAGAAGGATCGCAAGTTCAAAGCCAGCTGCAACAATTTGGCGAGACCCTGTCTTAAAATTTTTTAAAAAGGACTGAGGAATGTAGGTTAGTGATAAAGCCCCCCTGAGTTCAATCCACAACACCTAAATAAATAAAAGAACCTTATCAGAGAAATTTATGCTTAAAAAAAGCAGACGGACAAGAACAGATGGATGAGCCTTGCCCAGTCCCTCTATTTAACACTCCCTGTAGAAGTTTGTGTGGACTGAAATGTCACCATTTCATCCTCTCCCTCGATTGAAGATACACTGCTAACTCCATGGAAGTCCAGAACAGGACCTATAACTGAACAGCATTTCAAGTTCACATTTCTAAAGTAGTATTTTAGGCAGTGGAAAATCTTTAGTAGTTCGATACTATGTTCATTCAGCATTTGCAGAGCAAAAACCTGCCTGGATTTCTGGTCATTTAGTGAAGATTATTTTTTGAAACTATGATTTAAATATAGAACATTAAAATGTAGTTGCAGTAGACAAATCATATTTTTAAACTTCACTTTTAAGAAACTGTCCAGAAGTGTACACAATTAGTTATATACAGCAATTAACAAGAGGGAATGATTCTTAACAAGAGGGAATGATTTGTTTCAGTCGACCTTGTCCAGTCTCATGTGCAGACCAGGCACAAATGGATTTTATACCTTGTCCAGTTAACTGTAATCCCTAATTTATTGACCAAGGAAATCAGAACTTCTAGGGTTGTGATTAATGCTAGCCTACCAGACTAAAATTGTGCTTACCTTGTAAGAAAATATAAATGAATGGGTGGTAATTAAAAGCATATTATTTGCCAGGCACAGTGGCACACACCTGTAATCCCAGTGGCGGTAGAGTTCAAAGCCAGCCTCAGCATCAGGGAAGCCCTGAGCAACAGTGACACCCTGTCTTTAAACAAAATACAAAATAGGGCAGGGATGTGGCTCAGTGGTCAAGGGCTCCTGAGTTCAATCCATGGTTTAAAAATTATTTGAGAAGGAAAGAAAATTCATAACAGAATCCATAAAATTTACATGCTTCTAAATAACAATGAAAGAATTTAGGTTGCAGAGTTTAAAAAAAAATAAGAAATACCCTGTTTTAAGTCTTACCCTGAAGGTAAGATAGGAAAGTGGGAAATGGCTGTCAGCTCACTGGCATCCAATAAAATGTCTCACTGTAGTTTCTAGATTTCTGGGATACACTGACCAAGCAGAGGTGGTTTGTCAAGTCTGAGGCTTTCAACTTGTTCACCACCGTGAACTGGTTGATGTCACAACCTGACAGGCCATCATGGCCACTCTCAGCATCCTGACAGGAAACCCCATTGTACTCACTCTCCATCTCTAACACTTTACAATGCAAAAAGTGAAAGACATTACAGAAATAATCTGAAACCTGCCAGGCCTGGTGGCCGATGCCTATAATCCCCAATGACTTGGGAAAGTAAGGCAGAGGGATCACAAGTTCACAGCCAGTTTCTCAATTTAGTAAGTAAGTGTCTCAAAATAAAATAGTAAAAGGACTGGGGATGTAGTTCAGTGGTAGAGCATCTTTAGGTTCAACCTCCAGTATCAGGAAAAAAAGACAAAAAAACTCAAAATCTGTTTTAAGCCTATGGAATAAGTGCAACCCACACAAACCAATGCCATTACACATTATTTGCCACACCCCTCACAAACGACTAATGAGTTATAGCTGAGAACTGCATGGTTCTCTCATGGGTATCACTGCTACTGTCATGTGCAAATACTTTGGGGAGGACATCACACTTTATTAAAAACTGATATAAGCTGATAAACAGCAAGAAGAAGGAAGATGTAAGGCATGCCTGAGATGAGAAAGGCTCACAGAAAAAGGATGCAGACAGCAAAGTTGGAGGCCATGAACGCACACAAAGGCGGTCTGGCTGGGCCTCCTCTCAAGGGACAGCATCTCTTCTAAAAACAAAAGCATCCCTGGAAAATGGTATTGGTTCTTTCCTTGGGACATATATGGCTATTTTTAAAGTATTTATTTACTTACTAGTAATTACTAGTAATTACTGCTAATCCTAACTCTCTTTGAGACACAAACATATTTGAAGAATGGAAACAATGTGTTCACTGCCACAGTCAGGGCTAGTAAACAAGAAGAGAAGGAGGTCTTGGAGTTTTTCTATTCCAGATGAGCCTCAGTTCAGTTCAGGTGCTTCAAGAAGTTCTATTCCAGTACTCTGACCCAGCACAGAGTCAGTACACAGTTCATTCCAATGAAGCTTTCAACCCAAATGAGAGCATAATGTGCAAATATTTACTTTATTTACTCCTATCTGAAGGTACTCATTTTTGGAGAACAGCAAGGCATTTCATTATCCACTCTTTCCAATCCTGAAAGGCCTCTACGGGTTTCGGTAAATGCACATTATCTTCACAACTAGGTTTCGGAGTTGCTCTGGGTGTGTTAACATCATCAATCCACCTCACCAGTGCCTTAGGAAACAGAAGACTCACAGGTTAGCAACGTTGTTTTAGGCAAGAAAAGAAAACTGAGTCTAAATCAGGTTATCTTGACCTGGGATGAGAATGTTGCACTTAATAAATAAAGATGGTTATGAATACAACACAACACATCGAGGGGCTGAGGTTGTGGCTCAGTGGTAGAATGCTGGCCTAGCACTTGCGAGGCCCTGGGTTCAATCCTCAGCACCATATAAAAATATATAAAATAAAGGTATTGTGTCCAGCTACAACTAAAAACTAAGTATTAAAAAAAATACACAGAATAAAACAGGACATATTAAAATATACAAAATATAATTGTAAATTGTGTTCAAAAGTATGCATAAGAAAAAAGGTAAAAAGGAAATATACTAATTCTTACACTACTTATTTTAGGGTGGCAGGATAATAATTTTTCTTTTCTCAACTTGCTAATTATCCCATAAGGTATACTATGCTATGCCTTTAATTTAACACTTATGTGTACACACGTAAGTATATGCAGAAGCATGGTAGACACGTGTGAAGGCATGGATGCAGACACTTAAGTGCAGTCCCCTGAATGAGCAGTTACCCATGAGTAACCACAGAATGCACACTGATATACGTGTGGGCATACACACTCATGCACACTGAGATTTGGTACCTTCCCTCTTTCTTCTTAAAGAAAATCATCCTTTTCTCCTAATGAGCATCACAACCTCTGTCACATATTTGGAAAGATAAATCACGCTCATATGTTTATATATATTTAGTTAGTTTTTTTAATGAACTTTGCTACACAGACTGACATGTATTTTGTTCTGCAAAGTCAGTCAAGCTCTCTCGCCCTAATTAGATGAGAAGAGAAACTTCTTTTACCATTTCTCATAGAACTGCAAGTATGAGATAGGCATAGGCAACCTGAAGTTTTCAAGGAAGGTATTTCTTTGCATGTCTTTTTTTTTTTAAACCACAGCTTCCTGCTTATCTTTACACTAATTTCCTTCTGATAAATTACAGCTCTAGAGAAGGAGCTAATTGAAAATGTCAGTTTGTTACTCAGATAACCACTTCCCTCCTCCACCACCACGCCACACTTACTTTGTATCTTTCTGCAATATTGAAGCCAATGGCACACTGCAACTTGCGTAGACAGATAGGACACAGGTTTAGAGGACGACGGTCAGCTTCCTCCAAGTGGTTGGAGCCCTGCATCAGGCATGTGAGCCACTGGCAGTGTCGCAGTCCAAATATGTGTCCAATCTCATGGGATAAAGTCTGCAAAACATTCATGTTGTGGTTTTACAGAGCCACCATTATCAAACAATGGCTCATAACTTCTTTTACTTACTTCTCCAAGAAACAGATTTAAAGGAATCAACTCCCTTACCATTATCAACAAAACTTCCAAGCCTTAGTAGTCCTTCATTTCTCTTAAGTATCTGAATGCCTTCCTTATTATCCTTAATTAGGTCCCTTGGACCAGAGTTTCTCAACCTCCATACTATTAACATGTTAATTCCACATCGTGGGGAGTTGCCCTGGGCCTTGTAGGATGTTTTGCAGTATCCCTGGCCTCCACCCACCAGATGACAGAACCC